GGAGGGCCAGTAGCATGTTTTTAATCCTCTACCAAAGGTAATTTAAAAGTTTACCGTAGAACTACACTAATAAAATGTTCACACGAATATAGATACACATTAGAAAAACAGGCTATGGAGTCCAGAAGTTGAGCTTAAATTAACATTTTTAGTTTTCACACAGGTACCTAAATAATCTAGTGTGATAAGGGATATTTTTAAATGAATGGTGGTATAACTTACTGGATATCTGTAAGGTAGAAAACATTAAAAAATTAACTCAGGGCCTCTCTGGTAGCGCAGCGGGTTAAAGCACAGCACTAAGAAGCTAAAGCCACTTCCACATGAGTTTGATCCTCGCCTGCCCCGGAGGTGATCCACATGGCATGCCAGGCCTGTCCTGATCCGCCCGTTGCTCCCCTCAGCAGTGTACTTCATCAGTTGGCCTGTTCTGCTCCCCCCACTCTGTCTCTGGTGAATCCTCTCACCGCCTCTGCACCTCTGGCCTGTACTCCAGTTCTATATGCACAAATAAATAAACTTTAAAAAAAATTAACTCAATGGGCCTCCTTGGTGCAGGGATTAAGTGTAAGCCTGTGAAGCTATTGTCAGCCACTGCAGCCTGAGTTTGGTCCCTGGCCAGGGAGCTGACCCACATGGCGTAGCAAACCATTCCTGTCTCCCACTGTGCCTTTCAGCAATGGATTTCAGTTGATCTGCGTGTTCTGTTCCCCATTCTGTCTCTGGTGTGTCTCTCACCCATGTACCTCTAGCCTAGACCCCAATTCTTGTATGCATAGATAAATAAAAATAAATCTTTTTTAAAATTATGTTTATTTTTACATCATTTTGTGCCTTTTTCCATCTCAGTTGTAATCCCCGTGGGCTTCTCATCACCAAATCACCCATGTGCCATCACCATAGTCCAGTGCATTTCCCTCTCTCCCGCAAAAAAATACATCTTTTTTTTTTTTTAATAAAAAAGAACAGCAAGGTATAGACGAGTGTGTGTTCATAGCTCCTGTTCCTGATAGAGACTTGTGCAGTCAGACTTTTCTGTTCTGTTTGAATCTCAAGTTACTTGCAGTTAGTTAGCAGTGATCTAATAATACCTGTATGGTAAGAGATTTTGAGATGGTGGTTCCTTTTAAATCCTCAGTTGTGCTACACCCACATTTGCACAACTTTTGGCTACAGGCCATTAATAAAACTTGAGGTCCTCTCTGGTTAGGACAACTGGTTAGGACATAGTACTACATGCTAGCTGCAGCTGCTTCAGCGTGATTTTGATCCCTGGCCACGGAGGTGGTCCACGTGGCCTGGCAGATCTCTCCTGACCTGCCCGCTGTGCCCCTCAGCAGTGTATTTTGTCAATCTGCCTGTTCTGCTCTCCACTCTGTCTCTGGATTCTCTCACCACCCCTGTACCTCTGGTTTGTACCCAGTTCTGTATGCATAAATAGAATAAATCTTAAAAAAACTTGTGAGACTACATTCACGTAACTTTTACTACAATATATTGTAGTTGTTTTATAACAACTTTTATAATTGCTAATTGTTTTATAATTGTTAATGTTTTGTGCCTGAATTATCAACTAAACTCATAGTTATATATAGATGGGGTAAAAACAATTTAGATAAAGCTTAGTACTTTACAGTTTCAGGTATTCATGGGGTTCTTGGAATATGCCCCTCATAGGTAAGAGGAGATTACTATGTCTGGAATACAAGAACCCTTATAATTCAAGTATTAAACCAATAAAAAATAGAAAAGTGGGTGCTACCTGGTGGTGCAGAGGGTTAAAGCACAGTGACTATGAAGCTTTCTGTAGGCAGTGCAGCCTGAGTATGATCCCTGGACAGGGAGGTGACCCACATGGTGTGGCAGACCATGCCCACTGCTCCCCTCAGCAATATATTTCAGTGGATCTGTCTGTTCTGCTCCCCAATCTGTCTCCCCTGAATCTAACCCCCCCCCCACACCTTTGGCCTGTACCCAGTTGTTGTATGCATAAATAAATAAATCTTTAAAAAGTAGAAAATGTTTAACATTCTACACTAAGTAATACATATAAATGACTGGTGAATCCATTGAAAGATGCTCAAATACTACTAGGTCCAGGGAAATGCACATTAAAACCACAGGGACACTCCTTCATAAAAGATGACTTGTTAATGAGGGAACTCAAAATTCGTAAGTAAATGCCCTCCCTAGTGATGCAGCAGGTTAAAGCACAGCACTAAGAAGCTAAAGCCACTTCAGCATGAGTTCGATCCCCACACCGGAGGTGATCCACGTGATGTGGCAGATCTCTCCTGCCTGCTGCTCCCCTCAGCCCTGTACTACTTCAGTTGGCCTGTGCTGCTACCCACTTTGTTTCTGGTGAATCCTCTCACCGCCCTGCACCTGTGGTCTGTATCTCAGTTCTGTATGCATAAATAAATAAAAGTAAAATATCCGACACAAGGTCCATACTCCACAACTCCCACATAAACTACAACAGGATCCATAACAGTTAAATCTGTGGTGGCTTGTGGTTGAGCAAGAGCTCACTGACTGCAAAAAGGAGCACTGAGATCTGGCCACACTGTGGTACTTACGGGACTGGATTCACTTGACCCTATATACTGTAAGCGATCCAGTCTGTTGGGTATAACCCAATGAACAAACTAGACAAATCGGCACACAGGTATGGCGAGGCAGAATGGCTCCTGAAAGATGCCTGTGTCCAAATCTGTAATTCATCTCGTGGCATAGGGAAACCCAAGTCTGCTACTGAGCTGACCTTAACGGTCCTTACTGCATTATGCAGTAAGTGTGCCCATCATAAGCGCGTGTCTGGAAGACGGGTCTGCAGCCGGGAAGTCTAGGCTCCCCCAAACGAAAGCTTAGCGCTGACGAGTTTGCGCTCCTTAGGGCGGGCTTACAGGAGCCCGCGCGGGACGTTGTCAAATCGGGCCTGGACATACCACGTCCCATTCTCATTCCCTTCCCTCAAGACCAAGTACAACGCCATTGAAATGCATTCTCGGTTAAAATGACATCTCCGCCAGACTCGCTCGCAGGACACATCGTGGGCCACGCCCCTGTCGCCCTCTGCCCTTTCCCAGGCGGAAGTGGGGGCTGCCGAGCAGCCTGCCGGGGTCGTAGTTCGCGCGGCTCGGGCCAGCTGACGCATTTCCTGAGCGCCTCCGATACTGGCCGCCTGGCTGCGCGGCGCCGGGACCCGCCCCTGCAGCCAGGTCTCCTCTGGCCCCCGCCTCCCAGTTGGGTTTGTGCGGAGATGGCCATTAGAGTCCGCACGGCGGCCGTCTGGGTGAGTCTTGCCTGTTCGGGTTCCGTTCCGCGCGGGGGGCGCCGGGCACGAGCGCCAGCGCCACCCTGTTCCTGACAGCGGCCTGTGTCAGGCTTTTCCTCAGAAAGGCAGCTGGGGGTGTTGGGGGTGGTCACGTTTCCTTTCGGTGTTGGGAGGTTTTCTGTTCTCTATATGTGTACCCGGGCTGAGGCGCAGGTACCGGCAGCGTCGCGGACGCGGCGCCTGAGACGTCAAAAAACGGGCATTGTCCCGGTCGTCGCCCGCCTCGTCGGGGCTCTGGCTTTCCCCCCACCTCTCCTAGTTCAGAGGATGCCTGACGGTGGCGCACTTTACAGCTTCTCTTGCCCCACTTTGTAGCTTGACTTGGAGTCAGCCCAAGGTAGCTTGGAGAGATAGTGAGGCTGGGGGCGTGGGCGTGAAAGGGTTCGCGGGAAACCGAGCGGAGCGCAGAAAAGGCGATTTACTGAAATCTGCTGTTGAGAGCCGTAGCAGCAGACGCACTCTTCGGGAGGAGGATTTGGGGCTCCTATTAATAACCTTTTTCTTAAGGTTTTTATGACTGAGGGAGATGGTTCAGGCGTTATTTGGTGGGATGTCTAATCTTGGGTGTTGATCTTTAACGCAGAACATTTTCAGACCAAGCTTCCACATTCTGGCCAGGTTCCCATAGCAACCTTATCAGTCCTGTTTATCTGTTCTAGCCTCCCAAACCTTTCTGCTGGCAAGGAGTGGGGTTTAGATTTAAGCTTATTAAATGATACATTTCTTAGATATTTAAGAAATTATATGCTTGTTACTTATTAAAGCAATTTTTGTTTATTGTTCCCTTATTGCTGGCCCTTGTGGCAAGTACTAAGATTTCAAGCATTATTTGTTCATGACTCTGCTGTGGGTTGGTGTGTATGATGGACAGGAACATGTACAGTCACAACGACAAATAAGCAGACTTTCTAAGAGCAGGCTATGGGATTACAAGGGGTACACACAAGGTGAGTTTTGGAAGTCAATACACCCCAAGAGATGAAGTTACTAAGAAATTTGAAATAGAGCTATAAGAGGTGACTGAAGTGAACAAAGGACAGAAGGTCATCCTAGGAAACGGAAGCTGTGTGTAGACTTAAGAGGCTTGTATTTTTTCATTAAAATGATTTTGTTAGTCAGGGTGAGGGGTATCCCGGGAGCCCCAAACCTGTACACTTTAAATGGGTTCTGCCATCTGCCCCATCAAGACAAAACATAAAAGAATTTTAATACAAATGGTGTGCATAGAGAGAAGAGAAAGAATATAGGTTCCATTCACCCAAAGTCACCTATCCCCTTGTGGGTAAATGTCCAGCCCGACAGGGTTGGCCCAAAACCGGGGCACTTAGGCTGGAAAGTCTGCCACAGTCTTAAAGCCCTTCCTGGTTTTACTCAGAGGAAAGGGGAAGAAGGGGCCAGGCAGGCCTGGAGGGAAAAGAACAAAATAAAAAACTCAACCTAGATAAAAGCTGCCACTGTCAGCCTCCCCATGGTCTCTCACATCTCTGACTCTTCCAAGTATCTCCTTTCATGTCCCCCAAGTCCCTGGTGCAAGTCCAAAGCCAAGAAGCCAGTGAAGCTTCTTACATGTATTTCTGGTCCACCTGCCTTCTCCTTGTCCTCTTATTTCTAGTCTTCTCTCTGCCTAGCTCTACCTTTCCGTAGAGTGGGACAGAGAAGCTGGAACCTCCCTTTCCATGGGTATCACACTGGTACAGGTTCTGGAATAGGCCTCCTTCCCTGCTACTCGCCATTAATAGCCTCCCTCCTTCCTGTCCTTCTTTGTCATTCTCACAGCCTGAATCTTTTTTGTATTTCTATTCCAGCATCTTTCCTTAAGCAAATATCTATGCTTTGGGAAGGAAGCATTTGGCTAATCATTCAGGCCCTGGAGACCTTAGGTGACCATGTATTGTCACTTGTCACTTGTAGGCCTGAGCCTGATTGGCATGGCTCAGGCCCCACTCCAGGGGTGCTCTCCTGGTAGGGGGACATATTTGTTGGTGGCTTTGGAGCCCTACAATGAAGTCCAGCAAGTAGCCCCCTGGTTTCCCAATTGCCTTGACTGGGAACTGCCCCTGCAGTTGTTTCACTTCTGCTGTAGTCTGAGGCTTGTGAGAAGGCCTTGTCTCTGGGGTTTTTTGTGCTGACTTGTAGGTTTTCTGTGAACCTGTCCTTTATATTCTGGTAGGTCTCATTTGTTGTCATGGGAGGCTTATTGGAGATTGAAATACTGCACTCCTATCCTGATTTTACCTTTCTTTCAACACAATTAAAAGACTCAATAGCTAAGGGGCTTATTCATGGGCATCTAGATGGTGAGAAGGAACTAACTGGAGCACAAACTGTCATTCATTAGTAAGTCTCATAACACTGTGTTCTCTCTACCTGAAGCAGATTGTTTATTCTCTAGCATCTGGCAGTGACTCCTGTTTAATGGCCGCCTGCAGTGTTTTAAATATGAAAGGGGTGGTTGCAGTCTTGGGACTCCCACAGGCCTGCACTGTGTGTGGGAGGACATGGTATCAGGGTGTTAGGTTCTCTTTTTTCACTTTGTCTCACTTCTGCCCTGTAGGCACACTGACATTGACTGCTCACAACCCTGGCGGCCTCATAGGGTCACTAATATGAGTTTGCTTTTGAGTCTGCAGGTCCCACCTATCCAGGGACAATACAGTTCTGGTGACAGGATCAGGGATCTCCCAGGTCAGGAATCCACCTTGGGTCAAGAGACCCCTGACCAGAAGCTGCTCCATGGAGGACCTTGGCAGGGGCACATGGACTGCTGGACAAAGCAGGTTCTGGAGTGGCTGCTTATTTCCCAGAAGCAGCCAGGAACCACCCAGCCCCAGGTAAATTGAAGATTCATTCCCATTTATTTCATCATTTCTTTCATTTACTGCTGTTCTTTTTTTTTTTTGGCAAGGAGAGGACTGGGGGTGGGGGAATCCTTAGGTTCAAGAGTTAATATCTTCAGTTTAATGGCCTAAGGCCTAATTTTTTAATAAAGATTTATTTATTTATGCATACAGAACTGGGGTACAGGCCAGAGGTGCAGGGGTTGTGACAGGATTCACAACCAGACAGAGTGGGGCCAGAACAGGCAGATCGATGAAGTATACTGCTGAGGGGAGCAACAGGAGACACAGGAGAGGCCTGCTGTGCCATGTGGGTCACCTTGAGAACTGGCATTGATGTGACTGTGGTCAGACTCACATTGCTGTGCTTTAACCTGTTGCACTGCCAAGGAGGGCCCAATGGTCTATTTATTATCACTGGTTTGTGTGAAGTTCCCGCTTACCCTTATTTGCACATTTCCTTGTTTTCTTGTATTTTACTACCTTCCCCTCAACTATGTTGTGTTTTATGGGTGTCCATTTGTTTACATGTTTATAAAATGTGTGTTGTTATTGTTCTGTATGTATTTTTAATTTATGCTTTTGGTTTTTTGCTAGATTGAATACATATTTTGTTAAGCTCCCAGCTATCAATAGTGTTTGAGTTCCACATGCTTCATATTCTTAGCCAACACTATTGTTAGTCTTTCTAACTTGAACTACCTTGGTGCTTGTATAGTTATTATGAGTTTAATTTGCATTTCCTGTTGACTAAAGAGGATGAGTAACTTTTGTCATGCTTGTCATTTTATTAACTTTTTTGGATAATATTTCTAATTTTCTTTTTCTTACAGATTTTATTCTGAAAGCTTGTTAGAAATTCATACTCTGGGCCCACCCTGGTTGCACAATGGGTTAAAGTACAGCACTGCATTCAAAGCTGGCGTCAGCTGCTTCAGCGCAGGTTTGATCCTTGGCCAGAGAGGTGGCCCTCATGGCGTGGCAGACCTCTCCTGTCTCACCCACTGTTTCCCATAGCAGTGTACTTTGTCAGTCTGCCTGTTCTGCTCCCCACTCTGTTTCTGGTGAATCCTCTCACTGCCATTGTACCTGTGGCCAATACTCCAGTTTTGTATGCATGCCAGGATAAATCTTTAAAAAAAAAAAAAGAAAGAAAGGGGCTCTCCCTGGTGGCGCAAAGGGTTAGGATGCAGCACTGCAAGCTAGCCACCCCTAGGGGTGATCCACATGGCACAGCAGACCTCTCCTGTCTCACCCGCTGCTCCCCTCAGCAGTGTACTTTGTTGATCTGGTTGATCTGCCTGTCCTGCTCCCCACTCTGTCTCTGGTGAAGCTTCTCACTGCCCCTGCACCTCTGGCCGTACTGTACCCCACTTCTGTATATGTAAATAAATTGAACTTAAAAAAAAATGCAGATTTTAAGGTCCCACTTAAGTTCTGTTATATCGACTCTTATTTTTTTTTATTTTTTTAATGAAGGGATCTAAGTTTTATGAAGCTATACCTCACATGCCATAACATTTAACTTTTTTCGACTCTTATTTTTAACAAGATGCAGGCATTCTTGGACATTGAAGTTTAAAACAAAATTGATACCAAATTCAGATTTTATCTGGGGTGTTTCTTTTATTTCCAACATTGTATTGGGAAACTTTCAAGCATAGAACTAAGGTGAAAGGATTTAATAGTGAACATCTGTGCTGCCATCAGCTAGAATTTTTCCACTCACATTTTATTGTACAGGTGATCCTTGAACAACACAGGCTTGAACTGCATGGGTTCCATTCATATACAAACTTTTTTCATATTTCAAATTGTTTTGATATTTGTAACAGTTTGAGAAAACTTGCAGAAGAAACCATGTATCCTAGAAATAGTTAAAAAAAAATTGGTAAGGTAGGTTGTGCTTGCATAAAATATATGTAGATAACAGTCTAATTTGTCACTTATTAGCATAAAGTACACACAGATTTATAATAAAAAGGTAGTGTTGTCAAGTCACACAACCTCAGATGGTACATTCACAATTGTAAGGAACATAAAACAAAGTGCAGCATTAAATCATAACATTCATATATGCCTATTGTACTGCTGCAATAATTTCCAGCCACCTTCTGTTGCTGTTGAGGTATGCTCAGATGTTGAGAACTTAAACCTGTGACGCTGGTTATCTCTTGTGTATGACAGTGAGTTGTAACCTCTTCCCATGTGTTTAGTGCTCCACTGGAAACCTGGAGCGAGACTGGGACGCATCCAAGGTGTTCCCAGTGATGCTGGAAATGTTCCCCAGAAGAAGAAAAAGTCAAGTTGCTTGATATGCGCAGTAGATTGAAGTCTTAACTGTGTGGCCTGTCATTTCATGACCATCGAATCCAGTTTAAGGGCCATTGTAAAAATAGAAAAGGCTGTTGCTGTAGCTGTGCCAACAAGCATGATAACCTTACACTTTGTTTGAAGAAAGGTTTTTCCCTTTTTTCTTTTATTTCCCACTACCACTGTCACTGCAGACCCTAGCCAAGAAGCTAACCCAAATAGTGCTGCAGGCCTCTGCTGTCTTACGTGCTGCTTCCTGCGATGGAGTATTTCAGTGGATCTACCTGTTCAGCTCCCCACTCTTTCTTTGGTGAATCTTTTCCACTCGTACCTCTGGGCTACACCCCAGCTCTTGTGTGCATAAGTAAATAAAAAGATTAGGTGCTGGTATATGTGTGGATTTCTGGACTTTCAATCCTGTCCATTGTTCATTTATCTTCTGTTTTCTTTTTGCTAGTACCCTATTGTTTCTTAATATCATTGCTTTATAGTGAAGTAATATGATACCTCAGTTTCTCTCCTTTTTTCCTTAAGATTGTTTTTGCAATTCAAGGTATTTTGTGATTCCAAATAAGCTTCAATATTTTTATTTAATTTCTTAGAAAAATATTGCTGGCCGGCCCTCCCTGGTGGCGCAATGAGTTAGGATGCAGCACTGCAAGCTGGCAGCAGCCGCTTCAGTGCGAGTTCAATCCCCTGCCCTGGAGGTGATTCACATGGTGCAGCAGACCTGACCCGCCCCTTGTCTACCTGCTTGTTATGCTCCCCTTTCTGTCTCTGGTGAAACCTCTTACTGCCCCCATGTACCTCAGTTCTATATGCATAAATAAATCTTTTTTTTAAAAACAAGAAAAAATATTGCTGGGATTTTGTTAAAATTGTGTATCATTTTAGGTAGGCTCTTCATTTTGATTCTCTTGATTTTCCCCATCCATGATCATGGAATGTCCTTCCATCTCCTAATGTTTTTATTTAAATCATTTAATAATATCTTAAAACTCTTGTATTTTCTACCTTTGTTAGGTTGATTCTGATGTATTTAATTCTCTTTGAGTCTCTTATAAACGGAGTGCACTTAGGAATTTGTCTGCTATTGTTGGGTAGAATGTTCTGGGTATTTTAGATCTAGTTGGTTCATTGGTTTTCTTTATCTTTTTTTTTTTTTTTTTTAAAGATTTATTTATTTATGCATACAGAACTGGGGTTCAGGCCAGAGGCTCAAGGGTGGTGAAAGGCTTCACCAGAGACAGAGTGGGGAACAGAACAGGTAGATCAACGAAGTACACTGCTGAGGGGAGCAGCGGGCGGGTCAGGAGAGGTCTGCCACACCATGTGGTCACCTCCGGGGCAGGCGGGAATCGAACTCATGCAGAAGCGGCTTTAGATTCTCAGTGCTGTGCTTTATCCCGCTGCGCCACCAGGGAGGGCCCTTCTTTATCTTTTTTAAGAAAGATTCTTACTGTTTATTTATATAGAACTGGGGTACAGGCCAGAGGTGTAGGGGTGGTGAGAGGATTCATCAGAGACAGAGTGGGGAGCAGAACAGGCAGATTGACAAAGTACACTGCTGAGGGCGCAGCAGGGAGACAGGAGAAGTCTGCTGCACCATGTTGGTCACCTTGTTGGCCAGGGATTGAACTCCTGCTGAAGCGGCTGCGACTAGCTTCATAGTGCTGTGCTTTACCCATTGTGCCACAGGAAGGGCCCTTGTTTTCTTTTTCTTACTTTGTATTATTGAATAGTAGATAACAGTTTACAAATACGAAAAAATACTTAAGTTCTGTCACTGTTTATTGCACATATTTTGTTGATCTGTTATTAGTTGACTCACTGTATATAATTGCTGCATATTCTGTGTTGGACTTAAAAAAAAAATTATTAGTGGGCCCTCCCTGGTGGTGCAGCGGGTTAAAGCACTGCACTAAGAAGCTTAAGCCAATTCCACATGAGTTCGATCCCCACCTGCCCCGGAGGAGTTCCACATGATGTGGCAGACCTCTCCTGACCCGCTCGCTGCTCCCCTCAGCAGTGTACGTTGTCGATCTACCTGTTCTGCTCCCCACTCTATTCCTGGTGAATCCTCTCACCCTCCGCATCTCTGGCCTGTACCCCAGCTCTGTATGAATAAATAAATCAATCTTAAAAAAAAAAACAAAACAGCCCTGGGTCTTACTTATTAAAAAAAAAAAAAAAAAATTAGGGCCCTCCCTGGTGGCACAGCGTTTTAAAGCACTGCACTGAGAAGCTAAAGCCACTTCCGCATGAGTTCAATCCCCGCCTGCCCCAGAGGAGATCCACATGGTGTGGCAGACCTCTCCTGACCCGCCCGCTACTCCCCTCAGCAGTGTATGATGTCGATCTGCCTGTTCTGTTCCCCACTCTGTCTCTGGTGAAGCCTCGCCACCTCTGAGCCTCTGGCCTGTACCATAGTTCTATATGTACAAATAAATAAATCTTTAAAAAAATTATTAGTTTATACATAAAAGAGCTGGGGTGTAGGCCAGAGGTGCACTTGTGGGTTAGCTCCCAGGCTAGGAATCAAACTCAGGCTGGGCTGTAGTGGTGATAGCCTGAGACTTAAACCCTAGTCCACCAGGGAGGCTCTAGCCTCTGTCTTCTGATTGGAGATTTCAGTTCATTTTACTTTTACAGAAATTAATTACTGATGAGGATTTTTGTCACTTTGTTTTTTGTTTACTGAATACTTAACAGCTTGTTTCTCATTTATTGCATTACTATGTTGGTTTAACCAATTCTTTGGGTGAAATGTTTTTCTCATTTCCTTTGTGTTTTCTTTTAGTTTCTTTGATTGTCCATTACATTTGCATGTGTCTAATTTTGTTCTCCTTTGCAATGCTGAATGCTTCTTGTGGGCATGATTGTCACTCATTTTTATATCATCTGCACCTAGTATTGTATGTTGAATGAAAATGTGACTGATTTAATGCACATTGATGGAATTTTTCAAAACATTTTTACTTTTTTCATACACAAAGTAGAATATACTAGACATCCTTTGCTGTAAAATAATTGGAGATTGAATGGATATATGCTTTTTCAGGGACCATTGTCCTTCATGGATGTGTTTGTGGACTTTACTTGGGAAGAGTGGTGCTTGCTGGACCCGGCCCAGAAGTACCTGTACCGGAGTGTAATGTTGGAGAACTATGACAACCTGGTGTCCTTGGGTAAGTGCCACCTCCCTGAAAAGAGTGTATGAATTCTCTAAGCTTCCTGTTCTTGATTGTTGAAGGTGGGGTAGCTTCAATGAAATATTTTAAAGGTCAGAGTTTCTTACTCTCCCTTTGACATTAGAATATAACATTAAACCATCTACTTCAAAGCTTTATCATGCACTCACTAATCTGAATCTTCCCCATTCTTTAGAGATCATGAATCTTAGGTACTTTGAATCTGTGACTTTCCATTCACAGGGTATCAACATAACAAACCCAGTATCATTTTCAAGTTGGAACAAGGAGAAGAACCATGGATGATGCAGACACAAATCCCAAGTCAGGGCCATCCAGGTAAGTAATGAAGACATTGTATCTCTTCCTCTTTATTCAGAGTAAGTGTAAATCTCACGTGATATTTCCTTCTTTGTTAGTTAATCTCTGCCAGTGTCATTTTCCTTCTTTCTTGCTCTTGTAGTACTCATTATGCATTGAAGCAGGCTTTTTTTTTTTTACCTCATTTGGTGGAGCTTTTAGACCCCCTATACTGTCTATTTTTTTTTTTTTAATTATGTGTGTAAATGCTTTATATTCTGTATCAGTAGAAGTATTCCTGACTTCCTTCCTTCCTTCCTTAATACCCATTGGGAGACTATATCCCTTCTACAATATGCACTTAAATGCACTGCCCCATCCAAGTACATTCCTGCACCATTTGCTGCTCAGTTATTCTATGTGAAGCCTCCGCCATTTACCCCTTCCCTGCCCCTTACTCATGTGACACCCACCAAAACTACTCTCACTCTGTATGATGAAGTACTTGTTCTCATGCATCAGCAGTCTTCTGTTGCTCTTCTCTTTGCATCCAGAGGAGTCTTGCCCTGCACTGTCCTTGTGTATTGTAACTTTTTTAAAAAGATTTATTTATGCATACAGAACTGGGGTACAGAGGTGTAGGGGTGATGAGAGGATCCACCAGAGACAGAGTGGGGAGCAGAACAAGCAGATCGACTAAGTACACCTTTTGAGGGAAGCAGCGTGTGGGGTCAGGGGAGGCCTGCCTCGCCATGTGGGTCAGCTCTGGGGCTGGGGCTGGAACTCGCACTGAAGTGACCATAACTCACTTGCAGTGCTAGGCTTTAACCCAGTGTGCCACCAGGGAGGGCCTTGTAACGTTTTTTTCATGCATACAAGAGCTGGGCTGCACGCTGGAGGTACAGAGGGTGAGAGGATTCACCAGTGACAGTGGGGAGCAGAACAGGCGGATTTATTGAAATACACTGCTGAAAGGAACAGCGGGGAGACAGGAGCGGTTTGCTGTGCCCTGTGGCTCGGTGCCCTGGTCAGGGATTGAACTCAGGCTGCAGTGGTGACAGTGCTGAGACTTCTAGGCCACCAGGGAGGCCCTGTGGTTTGTAGACTTTTTTTTTTTTTTAAAGATTTATTTATACATACAGGGTACAGGCCAGAGGTGCATTGGTGGTAAGAGGATTCACTAAGACAGTGGGGAGCAGAACAGGCAGATTGACGAAGTACACTGCTGAGGGGAGTGGCTGGCCTGATAGGAGAGGTCTGCTATGCCATGTAGGCCACCTCCCTGGCCAGGGATCAAACTCACAGTGATGCGTCTGTGGCTAGCTTTGCACCATCAGAAAGGGCCTGCCACCCTGACATTGTAAGCTTGTCAGCATTTGCTCAGATTCCCTCCCTTCATGTAACTGGTGTTACAGTCCATTGGGCACCTGAAGTGCACCAGTAACCATTAGGATAAGATTCTTCCTTCCCACATAAGTTTTTTTTTAATCAGATTGTAAAACTGTTAGAGACCCCTAAGGTTTAAAGTGCTGGAACAAGGAAAGCCCCCTTAAGTTTGTGACTAGAAGACGAGTCAACATGGAATGGAAGACTGGCCCATTTCCAGACTGTGATGACCTTCCTTATAGCAGCAAAGCTGAATTTAAAGTAGAAAACAGGTGTGGGAACAAAACAATAACACAGAGCCTTGGCTGTAAATGTGTGCCTAATTAATGCTGAATACCAAGAGAATAAACATTATCTTATAACTAACCTGAAGGGGAGTACACTTTTGTCTCAACAAAAATGGCTGGTCACTTGGGATGCTTGGGAAAAGAAGCTTTGTTTCCTGAGTCCCATTCTTTTCAACCCTATTTTGTATCTGTTATTTCTTATTTTCAAGGTTCTTTTGGATTCTTCTCTCAACCCTGTGCACCGGAGCTGGGTTTCAGCATGAAACCTTTCCCAGCAAGCCACATAAGACTTGCCATGTTCATAAGCTAGATTGTTAAATATCCCCATCTAGAAACTCCAGCAAGGGAAATTGGGGCCATCATTGTTAGTTCAGATAAATCACGTTTTATCGTCTAGGATTTAGGGTTAAGTTGGGGTTGCAGGTGGGTTCCCATTTTCTTTATTAAAGCACATGACCTTAAAGATGGTTGGAAGGACATACCAGGTTTGTGCTCTCCAGGGAACGGGCAGGAGAACTGTTGGGTGTAGGTAGCATTATTTAACTTAAGGTATCTCTGGTTAGGCAGCACCCAGTCACTCTCCCTACCTATCTGTCTTTTAAAATACTTTGCTTGGGCCACTCTGTGGTTGAGTCTTAGCCCTATTATTGCTGTGGAATAAATTCAATTCCTGGCCAGAGAGTTGTCCCACACGACACAGCAGATCTCTCCTGTCTCCTTGCCGCTCCCCTTAGCAGTGTATCTCAGTAGATCCGCCTCCTCTGCTGTCCATGATGTCTGTGGTGAATCCTCTCATCCTCCACTCCCCACACCTCTGGCCTACCCCAGTTATTCTATGCAAAAATATTCTGCCACTTGCACTTTTACCATGTTCTGCATGAATGCAAGTCTAGGATCCCTGTTCCCAGTCAGACACAATGGTACTTCTTTCTCCTCTGGATACCTGTAATTAAAGATAAACTGTCCAGGGCCCTCCCTGGTGGCACAATAAGTTAAAAGCACAGCCCTATGAAGCTATGGCAGCCACGGTGGCACAAGTTTGATTCCCAGCCCACGAGGTGACTTTTAAAAAAAAAAGAAAGATAAGCTATCCACATAAAACTAACCACACAAAAGCAGAAGTACAGACTAGGCAAAACATGAGACCTCCATTCTGGGAGAGCAGCAGCAGTGCACATACCCAAGTCATGGCTTACAGTTTAGTAAAGCCCTGGGTGGGTAGCTTTGCCAGGCTTTATGCTGTGGTTGTGGTCTATTGAGTTGTTGGCTATGTTCTCTGAACATAATTTCCTTTCCTGTTGTTGTCTGTGGCTAAACTAGACATTCTCTTCAGGGAGAATGCTTTCCGATAGCTTCAGAATATCAGAATATTGTGTTTAATTTAAAATTTAATTATTATAAACAACTGAATGAAGCCATAGATAAGGAAACCTAGCAAAAATAACAATGAGTATGAACAACAGAAGACCTAGAAGAATGAAACGGAGGAATTGTTAGGACAGCTTTAGAGCCTATGAATTCTGAGAGCCTGTAGGGCACTGTATGACAAACGTAAACTCAGATTCTAGGACAAAGGTTAAATTACTAACTGACCTATTGTTTTTTAAATTTTTTTAGAAGATTATTTATGCATACAGAACTGGGGTATAGGGGAGATGATAAGATTTACCAGAGACAGAATGGAGAGCAGAACAGGCTGACTGAGATGTACACTGCTGAGGGGAGCAGCGGGCAGGTCAGAAGAGGTCCGCCGCGCCATGAGGGTCACCTCCTGGGCGGGGATGGTACTCGCACTGAAGCAGCTATAGCTTGCTTGCAGTGCTGAGCTTTAACCTGTTGTGCCTGACCTGTTTTCTACTTGTTGGAAAAGTTTCTGATTTGGACCATGTCATGACATATTCATATGTTGTGGCCTATTGGTCTGATGCCTGTCTGACCTTGTTCCATGTCTGGCTACGGTCCACCTGGCACATGTGAAAGTGCTTGTGTCTGAGGGAAAGCCCTTGGAAACCAGGGCTGAGAGCCAAGAACATGGACAGAGGTCATGCGGGCGCAGCCCAGCATTTCAGTAAAGATAAACAAAGAGCCAGTTAAGAAAAGAAATCCTGGTTGTGTGTGAGGAAGCTGCCCAGTACTGTTATGAGGAGGAAGTGCTGGGAAAAAGTAAAATGTATACAGATCTTAATTAAAAAGTTATGCTTTTGCTGAAGCTTGGGAACTAGGGGTATAAAATGGGATGCCTAAAAGTAAAATGCACTGCTTGCTCGATCTTGCAGTCCCCCATCTGGTGTTGTGATTCACAGCTGTGTCCCAGATCCTGGACCCACAGTGGCCTTTCTTCTACCTAGGGCCTCTGCCCCTGAGTGCGTGGCCTCTCTATACACCTATGTGTATAAACAATTTGGACAAGGCCCTCCTACATGACTGCCTTGAGACAGTGGTCCACGTCACCAGATGCCTGGGGACACCTAGGTAACTGTTGATTGATTCTGTGGTCAGGGTCCGAGATGGTCTGGGAGTAGCTTGAAAATTACACCAAGCATCTGCATGGGAAGTTCTCCCTACATATATGGTGGATATTTCCTCCCCTGTTCCCCATGTAATTGATATCTTTTGATCCCTTTGACGTCTTGTTCCCTGTAAGGATATATACCCTTTGTTTATCCTGCCATTGTGAAAAAATAAGTCATGCATGTTCACTATTAATAAATAGCAAGAGGGCTTTTCATTGGATTGCAGCAGCTTACCTGCAGACCTGCTCTACTACTCATCTCAGGAATGCTCACAGGGATGTATGGGTGTGTCCCTATCCTCCAGAGTTATGCTCTCCCAAATTGTGTTAATCAAAAGTTACCATACTCACTTTTTAATGCATTCAGTAGGAGTGGGGCTACTTTGAGTTTGAAATTGTTGTTTGGGGCAGTATAACCTGAAGATTGTTTACAAAAGAACAGGGACTAATTATAGAAGGTAAGGAAAGTTGGAATGGTGTATTAAGATCTTCTGTTTGGGCCTCCTTGGTGTCACAGGGGTTAGTCTCAGTGCTATCACCTCTAGATCTGAGTTTGATTCCCCCACCAAGGAGCTGACCCACATGGCACAGCAGACCTCTCCTGTCTCCCCACTGCCCATCTTAGTAGTGTATTTCAATTGATCTGCCTGTCCTGGTCCCCATTCTTTCTCTGGTGAGTCCTTTTACCCCAGCACCTCTGGCCTACACCCCAGTTCTTGTATGCATAAATAAATCTTTTTAAAAAGATCTTCCTATTTACTCTTTCCAAACCTGACTGCTTCTATGTTGTCATTATATTCTGTTTATTGTGTTAGCCAGCACATTATTTTGGAGCAGTTTGATATACTCATTCTCTCTTCCATTTAACCTGCAATCCTGTGTCTTGTTTTTCTATCTAATTTGTATCTTTCATTTTCTGTTACCTGCAATGAACATTCGGTCCACCCTGTTCTATTCTTCATTCCCACCTGTGAGAAAACTACTGGCTCACTTGTAGCTCTTTGTTAAGATATTCATCTTTATGTATATAAGTAACGTACACTGGGCCTTTCTGGTGGTGTAATGGGTTAAGGCGCAGCACTGTGAATATATCTGCAAATACTGCAGCGCAAGTTCAATCCCCGGCCATTGAAGCTGACCCACATGGTTCAGCAGATTTCTGTCTTGCCAGCTGCTCCCCTCATCAACCTGCCTGCTCTGCTCTCTGCTGTCTCTGGTGAATCCTTGTACCTCCCACACCTCTAGCCTGTACCCCAGTTCTTGTTTGTGTAAATAAAAAAAAACTTTACAAAAATAAATAACCCACATACTATCTGTATTTTGATTTTTTTCTACCAAGGGGGATTACCCAGGACTAAAGGGAGAGAATTTAATTCTTTTATCTCTCTACTTATTCCCCACTATAGTATTCACATTGTCAATTCTCACACTCTCATCATCCTAATAAAGTTATTTTACACTTTTGGTTAGATCAGCCTTCAGTTTTACATTTTTGCTACTATAACATTTCTATGCAAGTATTGATATCAAATAGTTAATTTTGCTCATAAATCACTAACATATTTCCATTAATTTAACTCTGGATTTCTTCAGGTGTCTCCCTATTCTTTTGAAACATTTATTTGAATTACTACTGACAACTGTATTTTACTGGTAACAGCATTTGCATTCTTTTCACTTGTTCCAAAGTAACTCAGATTTTCTCAAGACCTGTGTGTTTTTTATCCTGAGCTCACCTTTTGATTCATTTTCTTTATTCTGTATTCTCTCTCATTCTCTGGTTTGCTTTGTAGGATCCTCACTTTCAGTTGCTTCCCACTGAAGCATCTGAACATGCTTATATTTTTCTTAGGAATGCTGTTTCTGTCTTGATCTTAATGAGAAATCATGATGTTCTAACTTTTGATCCATTATGAAACTGTTATTTTGGTTTCTCTGAAAGGGTAGTAATACTTTCTGGTCCTCAGTGTTCCAAAATACCATCATGATATCTTATGTGAGCTTTTCTTTCCTTTTATTTATACATACATACAAGAACTGGGGTACAGGCCAGAGGTGCGGGGAGTGAGAAGATTTACCAGAGACTGAGGGGGATCTCCTGAAATACACTGCTGAGGGGAACAGTGGGGTGACAGAAGAGGTCCACTGCGCATGTGGGTCAATTCCCAAGCCAGGGATTGAATTCATGCTACAGTGACTGGCAATAGCTTCATAGCCCTGAGACTTTAACCTCTGTGCCACTAGGGCAGCCCATGTCAGTATATTTTAATTTATTTGTATGAGTATTCATGGAATTTTACTCCAAAGAGGAATGTAAACTAATCTGTGATGATTACTGCTGTTTCTCCAGAGCTTTGGTGTGCTTGCACATGATAGGTGACCAGAAATTATTTCCTGGATAAACCTAATGATTAGATTCTGTCCTGCCTTTTAATATTTTGCTCATTTTCTCTTGTGTCTATTTTGTCATCTTTAGTATGAAACAGCTTTAACTCAGAACTCTATTAATCATCAGTTTCCAATGTCTGTCTTCAGTTTTTTAAAAATATTCAAATGGGCAGGTTTATTATAAAAAGTGAAGTCAAGGATGCTTGTCCAGACACAAGTGAGCAGAAGTAGCTTTCCTGGAAAGAGACAGGTTTGTTAGGAGAGAGGTCTGCATAGTCAGAGGTTTATAGTCTTTAGAGGAGAGCTGCCTTTGCTGCTCTCCAAGGAAGAAGCTTGGAGAAGAGAAACTCCTGCATAGTTATAACCAGGTGGGGGAGCTGCTGCCTGCCTTCACATTTTGTTTTGCTTTGTTTCTGCCTCTGTCCCACAGTTTGGGTATATTTATATTTATGATCAGACTTGGTGTCAGAAGGTAAAGAATAATCTCATGAAATAGCATTTTTAAGTGAAATTTATGCTGTACTAGTATCATGTTGTTTATTTATAACATAGCTAATTCTTTTCATTTCTAGATAAAGCCTGGGAAATTAATCATATGGAATGGCATCAGGAAAATCAAGGCAAGCTGGAAAGTATGACAAAAGGCTCTGAATGTACAGCATTTGGAAAACTGTGTCTTCTTAATACAAATCATGTTTCCTTAAAAAAAAAGTTTCATACATGTGGCACACATGGAAAGTGTTTGAAATATAACACAGATGGCTCTAGTAATTATGTTGAAAAGAATCCAAATGGGTTTAATATGCATAAACAAACTGTTATTCGAATAAAATGTTCTGAAAGTGACAAATCTGGAAAAACCTTCAACAAGAAGTCACAATTACTATGCCAACAATTGTATATAAAAGGAAACCCTTTTGAGTGCAGTTACTGTGAGAAGACCTTCAGCAGCAAGCCATGCCTTATGCATAAACAAACTCATGGAGAAGAAAAACCTTACAAATGTAATAGATGTGGGCAAGACTTCAGTAGCAAGTCCTACCTCAGTGTACATCAGAGAAGTCATACAGGAGAGAACCTACATGAATGCTGTAAACGTGGTAAATTCTTTAGTACGAAAGATCAGCTTGTTTCACACCAAAGAACTCATTCCAGACCAAAACCCTATGGATGTAATGAATGTGGGAAAGCCTTTGGTTTGAAGTCACAGCTCATTATACATCAAAGAATTCATACAGGAGAGAAACCCTTTGAGTGTAGTGAATGTAGCAAAGCCTTTAATACAAAGTCAAATCTTATGGTACATCAGAGAACTCATACAGGAGAGAAACCCTATGGTTGTAGTGACTGTGAGAAAGCCTTTACTTTCAAGTCACAGCTCATTGTACATCAAGGCATTCACACAGGAGTCAAACCATTTGGGTGCACTCAGTGTGGGAAAACTTTCAGTTTGAAGTCACAACTCATCGTTCATCAGAGAAGTCACACAGGTATGAAACCTTATGTATGCAGTGAATGTGGGAAAGCTTTTAGGAGCAAATCATATCTTATTATCCATATGAGGACTCATACAGGAGAGAAACTCCATGAATGCAGTGAATGTGGAAAAACCTTCAGTTTTAACTCACAGCTCATTATACATCAGAGGACTCACACAGGAGAGAGTCCATATGAGTGCCGTGAATGTGAGAAGACCTTCAGTCGGAAGTATCAGCTTATTTCACACCAGAGGATTCATGCTGGGGAAAAGCCCTATCAGTGCAGTGACTGTGGAAAAACTTTCGGTTTGAAGTCACAGCTTATCATACACCAGAGAACTCATACAGGAGAGAAACCCTTTGAATGTAGTGAATGCAGCAAAGCCTTTAATACAAAGTCAAACCTTATTGTACATCAGAGAACTCATACAGGGGAGAAACCATATAATTGCAGTGAATGTGGAAAAACCTTTACTTTTAAATCACAGCTCATTGTACATCATGGAGTACACACTGGGATAAAACCCTATGAATGTAGTCAGTGTGGAAAAACCTTTAGTTTGAAGTCACAGCTCATTGTACATCAGAGAAGTCACACAGGAGTGAAACCCTATGAATGCAGTGAATGTGGGAAAGCTTTCAGGAGCAAATCCTACCTGATTATCCATATGAGAACTCACACAGGAGAGAAGCCACATGAATGCAATGAATGTGGGAAATCTTTCAGTTTCAACTCACAACTCATTGTACATCAAAGAATCCATACAGGAGAAAATCCCTATGAATGCACTGATTGTGGGAAAGCCTTCAATAGAAAAGATCAACTCATTTCACATCAGAGAACTCACATAGGGGAAAAACCTTATGGGTGTAGTGAATGTGGGAAATCCTTTAGTAGCAAGTCATACCTCATTATACATCTGAGAGCTCATTCAGGAGAGAAACCATATGAATGTAATGAATGTGGAAAAACCTTCATTTGGAAATCACTGCTAATTGTACATGAACGTACGCATGCAGGGGGAAGCCCTTATAAATGCAGTCAATGTGAGAAATCATTTAGTGGGAAAGTGCGTCTTATTGTGCATCAGAGAATGCACACAAGAGAGAGACCCTATGAATGCAGTGAATGTGAAAAAGCCTTTATTAGGAAATCTCAGCTCATTGTACATCAGAGAACTCATTCAGGGGAGAAGCCCTATAGATGTAATGAATGTGGAAAAGCTTTCTCTCAAAAATCAATTCTTAGTGCACATCAGAGGACTCATACAGGAGAGAAACCCTGTAAATGTGCTGTATGTGGGAAAGCCTTTTGTTGGAAGTCACAGCTCATCATGCATCAGAGGACACATGCAAATGAGAAATGTGATGAATTAAATATAAATATTTCCTCTGAAAAGCCAATTCACAAGGAATTCCAGCAACCTCATATAGAAAAGAAACTCACTAAAGGGGATTATGTGTTATACCAGACAACTCATACAGAATAGAAATTTAATGAATGCACAGAATGTATAAAGTTGCCCACAGGAAGTTGTGGTTTTTGACATGTAAAAATATCAAATGCTTACAAGAAACTGTAAATTCAGTAAGCCCTTGAAGGGTTTCAGCAGCAAGTCATGCTTTTAAAATGTTTATATAGGTGAGGAATTACATGAATGAAGTGAATATTGGAAATTAATTTTACCAACATAGCATTCCTCAAACCAAAGCAAATGTTAAGTACACCATTGAACATTGGAAGTTTTGTTTTATTGAATGTATTTTAATGAGGGAAAATAGAGAACCAAGTGAATGGGCCATTTATTAAAATTACAAACACCTTAGGTATCAGAGACTCATACCTTGACAAAACCATGGTGTTATTTAGGGAAATTTTTCATTTAGAAATGACAAGCCTCTAGAAAAGTAATAATCCAAGTGACAACCTATGACTGTCAAAATGGGGTAATGGCTCAGCTAGAGAGTTCACTTGAATATCTTTATTACTTTTGAGTAATTTCCCCTAAAAGCTATTATAAGGGAAATTTTGTTCTTGATATTGAAAAATATGAGGAAAATATTGGAGAAAATATTCAACTAAAGTGGTAGGAATGTTCATAACAGAAAATACTCCTTTTTAGTCTGTAAATAATTGCAATGATCAGGACAAGAAGTAAATCCTCAACTAATGTGTTTGGTAGGTTTTCAGAAACTAATAGTAAGGAAAATGGTATATAATGAAATCAGGTCCTTGAATAATGTTATTTCAGTGTTTGTGATCCTTTCTTAATTTTACTATGAACAGTATTGAGTAAAGGAACCTTGTTTAAAGACTTGCTATACTTCATAGGATTTAACCTTCATGTTTAGATTTATCTTCCTCCCTATACTATACTATGAGTTTCTATGATTTAGAATTTTACTTGTGAATGCCACATGAAGTAGATAAATTAGATACAACACCATTTCTTAGGCATTTCTACTTTGTAATAACATTTTAAAAAAAGATTTATTTATTTATACTGAACGGGGTACAGGCCAGAGATGTGGAGGGTGAGAGGATTCACCAGAGACAGAGTGGGAAGCAGAACAGGCAGATCAGTGAAGTACCCTGCTGAGAGGAGCAGCAGGTGGGTCAGAAGAAGTCTGCCACGCCATGTGGATCTCCTCTGGGGCAGGCGGGGATCGAACTCATTCGGAAGTGGCCTTAAGCTTCTTAGTGCAGTTCTTTAACCCGCTGCGCCACCAGGGAGGGCCTGTAATAACATTTTTAACTGTTTTGTAACTAGAATATTAAAAATACATTTCTGTATGACAAACCTCATATTTTCTATCTTTTATGTTGGCTAGGCAGCTGTCTTTTTAGTTATATAGATCAACATATTACCCACTTATATCTGTGTGCCTGAAACTGCATGTTCTCATTGGTTAGAACAGCCTGATATCCTTTTAGAGCAGTACTCTTTGCCTATGTGTAGAGTCATGACAGGATCATTCAAGGTGTCCATCAAGTCAATTTTATGATCATTAAAGTAGGCTTTATATGTTTGATACACTCTATAAATACAGAAAAGCAAAATGAACTTAGGTTTTCTGGGAGTTAATTGATGCAATTATTCCTTCAACTTAGATTAACAGCTTTTTAAAATTTTCAGTGTTTATTCTGGTTCACTTTTTCTTTTAATTTTTGAGCTATCTGGTATCCTTTAAAAAAATTTAGTGATACATTTAAGTCATTTTAGGTGATACTGCTAGAATGTATATGTATAGCTATAAAGTAAGTGTTTTGAAGTTTTCTGCTAGTTGCTTGCTGACAAAGTTTTCTTCATGGCCTCACCAGTTTCCTTAAGTGAATGAATGACCATTAACCTGGAGAGTGGGGCCTTTGTAAAACACCTTCGGGCTATCTTGGGGAAATATGAGGATTCAAAACAAAGTAATTCTGAAGTATTCTCTACTTTTGTACTGTTCACGGGGATCTCATTTCTTACTCAAAATGTTTCTTTCTTGAAGGGCTTATGTAAGTTGTCCAGTAGTTATTGTGTTCATCTCATTGTACAGGGTCTAATATTCCCAGAGATAACAAACGGGTGAATAATGATTCACAGAAGGGAGAAATTTATCCAAAGAGGGAATTTAAGATATTTGCTAAAGCATGTCTCCTAAATCTGGAAAAGATAGTAATATGTGTTTTGTCACTGATGTTCCAACTAACATGCACATATAATAAAGAGCAAATGTAAGGCAAGTCTATACTCGGTTTACTACACCGCCACCCTTGGCACACCTACACTGTTGTGGTTGCTGTATCCTATAATACAAAGTGCACATGCCATCTTGCTCAGGAAGGCAAGTGTTGATGTCAATAATACTCGGCAAGTAAATTTTCCGTAAATTCTATCATAAATACTAATTTTTTTTAAAAGATTTATATATTTATTTATACAGAACTGGGGTACAGGCCAGAGACAAGGAGGGTGAGAGGAGTCACCAGAGACAGAGCGGGGAGCAGAACAGGCAGATCGAGGAAGTACACTGCTGAGGGGAGCAGTGAGCGGGCTAGGAGAAGTCTGCCTCGTCATGTGGATCTCCTCTGGGGCAGGCGGGGATCGAACTCATGTGGAAGTGGCTTCAACTTCTTAGTGCTGTGCTTTAACCCGCTGCACCACCAGGGAGGGTCAAATACTAATTTTTTAATGGCACTAAAATATTTTATCTTGTTATGGAGTATTTTTGATGCCACATTCATCTCAGCCTGTCCCCTGCCTTACTTTAAAGAAGAATCTCCAGAACACTGCCTGGAACTTAAGATAGCAGGGACTGTGAGACCCACTGTTGGGTCCTTGCTCTAAGAGGGAAAGCTGGAACCCTGGGTGATGGTTGGGCACTGCTGAGCCCTGGTCCCCTGGAGATTCTTGGGTGGAAAGACTTGTTCAGCCCTCTAGCAGAGCTGTCACATGAGCTGCCCCAGAAAGAAAGGAGCAGTTTCTCATACCTCAGGTTGCTTTGCTGGGGTTGGGATGGGGTTATTGCTGTAATCTTAGTTTGAAGATCCCGCTTCCTGTTTTCTGTACCCACCTGCTCAGCCTGTCTCCAAGCAAGGACAAACTGCTGAATCCCTCAAGCTCTTGTTTAATGCCCCTCCTCCCTGCAGTCCTGCCCCATGCAAGATCTGTCTCCCTTACTATATCAGGGGTCTGTTTTCCAGGATGTTCCTCAGAAGTTCTAGAAACCCACTGTCTCAAGTGCCTAATCTCCCACAGCTATAGTTCCCACACTAGAATGCAGATAGACATTCTGTAGGTCACACATCTCTGAAGAGGGTCTTAACCATGGGCCACTTAGATGCCTTGGGGCAAGAACTGAGCCTGTGGTGGGATTAACTCCTTGGAGAGAAGAGCTGAGGGTGAGACCAGTTGATAGGCAATGCTAAGTGGGCTTCCAGAAGGCTTGGAAAGGAATGTGCTACATTTCAAAGGTTTTAAAAATGAATACCAACCACAGAACTGAGGCTTATAGCAAAGGGCAGGTGGCAGGAGGGAGGGATGAACATGAGAGGATGTGAAGGTTCGCAGGTGATAGGCAGGAGAACTAGGGACTAGAACGATGCAAGAGATGGTTTTTATTGAATAACAGTACACAAAATGAAGATAGCACTTGTGAGGCTTGTATCAATCACAGTGCCGTGTAGAAAGGGCCTGTAACTACGTTTTACCAAAGGAGAGACTATGCCAGCCTTATACAATTGTTAAGAACTGAACTGGGGCCCTCCCTGCTAGCTCAAGGAGTTAGAAGCACAGCACTGTGAGGCGGTCTGGAGCAGCTTTGGCACAGGCTCAATTGTCAGTCAGCCAGGTGGCCCACATGGTGGGGCAGAGCTCTCCTGGCCTGCTCACTGTCCTCCTCAGCAGTGTATTTCAGTAGGTGGGCATGTTCTCCCCACTTTGTCTCTGGTGACTCTTACCCCCACATCTCTGGCCTGTGCCCCAGTTCTTGTATGCAAAAATAAAAATCTTAAAAAAAAACTGAACTGAGCCTCTGTTCAAGGTAGCCCAGGTCCAGGAGGTGGTGAACATGCTTTTAAAGTGCCTTCTATGTTAACAGTGGGATTGCACACGGTGGTGTACTGCAGGCACAGGCAGGCTGCTGTTGGAGCCTCTGCTAAAAGGAGCTGAGGGCCCTCGGTAGTGGTACTGGAAGCTATCACCAAACACTGCCTTCCTCCAGTCAGGGAGCTGACCCACATGGCGCAGCAGACCTCTCCTGTCCCACCTGCTGCTCCCCTCAGCAGTGTATTTCAGTGGATCCACCTGTTCTGCTCCCCACTGTCTGGTGAATACTCTTATTAAACACCTCCTCCACCGCCTGTACCCCAACTCTTGTGTGCATAAAGAAATCTTAAAAAAAAAAAAAAAGCATAGAAGAGAGTCCTGGTTGCAGTATTTACAGTGAGACATTGAGAATGTGGTTAAGATTGAAAAGCTGAAAAGTTTCACAATTCAGGGAACCAACTTCTCTTTGGTTGTGGGACTGTGGCCCCAAACTCACTGAGGCAGGGCGTTTAAGACAGGCCTGTAAACAACAACAACTTCGGTCCTGGGCAACCACAAAATAAACCTGACAGTGAAGGAACAGAACTTCCTGAGTTACATATAATTTAGTGATGTGGCTTTATTGACAGGTTCCCTCGAGTTTGTAACAAATGGTGTTGAAAGGGCAAAAGCAGGGAGAACCTCAGGCATTGTAGAAAGGGCCTGTGGCTGTCACAGGTGCCTTGCAGGGTCAGGGGTCAAAAAAAATTCCATCTGCCCAGGTGCCAACCGGGCCTCCCGCAGCGATCGTCCTGCTTTGCTTTCCAGTTGGGCGGCCCTTTCCAAACCGTGCCCTACAGCACCCGGCTCCTCGCGTGCACCCCGATTTGGGGGACTCATCTGACTCCGGACTCCGCAATGGCTTCCAGTTTCTCACTCGCACCACGTAAACGAGCCACAAACCGCCAGCCAGTGGTCGAGTGACTCACAACCGTCTCTGCACGAGGGAGGGGTCAGCTGGGGCCACCTGGAGCCCTCGCCCAGGGGGCTCCGGGAGCGTGCGCGGCGCTGGATTCGACAGTCGCCCGGGCCAGGCCATCTCCCCGCGTGCTAATCGGTTCTCCGCAGGGAGCTAAGGTACCACCACCGCCCCGTCGGAGTCTAGATTTGGAAGGTGCCTCCTCGCGCCAGGCCAGGGCGGGGTGCGGCGTTCGGAGGGTCAGGCGGGCGTCCCCACTGCCTACTGCCCATACACCATTGGGCCACACTGCAGTTACGACACCCGGCCCCCCGACATAACCCAGCTCCTTCCGAGGCCTGGACGGCACTTCTGAACACCCATGAACCTCTCAGCGACCGTCTACTCCACATGCTCCCCCCCCCCACCGATCCGCCGGAACCTAGGCCGTCCCCCTGGCCCCCTCGCCCCCTGGCGGCCCCAGACCGCAGGGGGTGGGGCGGGGGCGCGCACCCAGCAAGGTCGTCGGACCCGACGCGGGTGCCGATTGGCCGCGGCCTGGATACTTTGTAGCGACCGCGCCTCCGCGCCGCGGGATCCGGCGCTGCAAGCAGAGCACGCGAGCCAGAGTGCGTGGCTATGAGGCTGGTGAGACGGCGCCGCTTGGGGGATGGGGCGCGGGTTGCGTGGGGGTGGCGGGGGAGTCGGAGGTTTGGGGGCTGGGGCAGGGCCGTTGGGGATAGCGGCGTCCCGGCGACCTCGCTGCTGGAGCAGGAGTCGCGTCTCCTGGGAGCAGCGCCCAAAGGCGCGGGGGCAGCGGGACGCGACGCCGCAGAGCTGGGTGCCGGGGAATCTCTTCTTGCTCAGCTCGGGACCCTCCCCCTCCTGGCTTGGAGGTGGGGCGCGGCGTCGACGCGAGCTGGTCCCCCTGGCGGCAGGCGCTGGCCTCAGGCGCGGATGGAAAGCACTAGAAGCCTCTGCTGCCAGGAACGTGCCCAGGAACGCGCGGAGCCCACCCTTGGCGGCGTTGCGGAGGTAACCGGCGGTCTCCTCTGCGCGGGCGCCCGAGGGGGTCTACCCCCCTCCGGCCTCCTCTCCCAGCCCCCGCGGGACTTGCTTCCCTGCTGGCCGGGCGCGAGGGGCTGGTGGGGGCGCGCAGTGTCGAGTTGGCTTTGGGGGTGCAGTAGTTCTTACTTAAGCCTGGGCCCTGAAACCAGCCTGTGGTGTGCCCGCTTTGCATGTCACCTCCTCTCCTCAGGGCTTAACCTGGCCTATGAGTCTCTGTGCGGCCTTTTCTTTTTAACGTGTGGCAGCGGAGCGATCCTTGTCTGTATATTTCAAAAGTTTGGCTTTTTCCAAAGTCACAGTCGTTAAACCGCGGTGGTTTTGCCCCTGCCCCCTTCCGGCTGCCGGGCTCCGTCCAGCCCAGCTGCCTTCTAGCTGCTCGGGCCCCATATCTCGGGCTGCCCTCTGGGCTGGTAGAGCCAGAGGGGGTGGGTGGGTGGAGGGTGGCGGCGGGGAAGCGAGGACGTGAGAGAAGTGGGGTAGTCCAGGAAGAGGCTTACCGTTGGGGCAGTGGGGCCTGCACACAGCCCAGCGCTGTTTTGCTTGGGAGGCAACTATAGGGGCACTGGCAGCCCCTCTTCGGGAGGGGGCAGGCCCTGACTTGCCCCCTGTTTGGCAGCAGGTCCTCAAGGATGCAGAGCTTCCTGATGCTCCTGCGTGGGGCGGGGAGTGCTGGTCCGCCCCTTGCTGAGCTAGTGGCCCTTGCTGGCCAGCTGTGTCGGGACCTGCAGGATGACCCCGCCCAGGTGCAGCCCTTGGTTACAGCAGTGCTGGACAGCCAGCTGCGCCTGCAGCTCCTGGACAACGTTGATGTGGCCCTGGCATGTGCTCGCAGGCTGGCTCAGCAGGAGCAGCACCAGGCCGCCTGCCGGCTGCTGGAGGTAGGCCTGGGTCTCCAGGGCGGTCAGTGAGGTGTGTGTGGACCTAGACAGGACGTTAGTCACCTCACTAGATAACTATCTGCATGGGTCAGGCTGTCCTGTCCAGGATCCTCCGCTGACCAAATGTGAACTGGGAGTGCCCCGGTTGGCGAGCTGGCAGCCTCCAGGGGCAGATAGGACAACTGGCCCAGGGGCTCAGCCCTGGTCTGCAGGTGGCCAGGCAGAGCCCAGCAGCTGGTCTCTTGTCAGCTGGTAGTCCCTGGAGCCTCCCCTCACTGGGCACCAAGGGCCCGCTGGCGAAGGCATGTGCGGTCTTCAGCCCTGGTGAGGTGCATCCTTGCCTGGAGCTTGATGGCTCGTTCTAAGCCCCAGCTGCACTGGATTGCGGCACATCCTGTAGCCTGTGCTGTACCTTCCTACAGTCGGAGGAGCTCTAGGTTCCAGGATGTGCCAGGCTCAGAGGGTTCCCAGTAAAGTCTCAGGGCATGTCTGCCCCTCCTCCCATACCCTTGTGCAGTTGGAGGAGCAGTTTATGTGGAGTCCCCCCTATCAAGATGCTTTCTCTTTCCAGCTCTCTGTTTTTGCTTCTCCCCAACCCCTTGGGGTGACTCCTGGCCCCTCTTCAAGTCTCCTTGCCCACATGTGGAGTAGTGCCCAGCTACATTGGGGCTTCACAGGTGTGGGGGGCCAACTTGCACCTGTGGGGCAACCCTCACATCTGCCATGGCTCCAGACCTTGCCCAGTAGCAAGGTGCATCTGGCCTCCTTGCTGCTTCTAGAAACCCCAGCGCTTTCATTGCCTCAGGGCCTTTGCACATGCCAACCCTCCTGCCCAAGAAAGAACCCTGGTTGCTGGCACTTTCTGACCTCTGGTGCCTGGAAACTGTGGCCTCCAGGCTGGGGCCTTGGGACACCTGGGCTCAGTGCCCCCTGGCCAGTTGGTCCTGCTGGGAAACTTGTGTGCCCACAGGCCTTCCCGAGTCCTCTGTGCAGTCTAGCTGTGTCTCCAAGTGTGAGTCAGGAGCTGTCCTTAGAGGGGAGGTCCCAGTCCAGCATGGGCCACAGCTGGCCGTCTGCTTCCTGGGCAGCACATTCCTGGCCTGCCAGGCAGCTAGAGAGCCTGGCTTCCTGGAGTCCAGTGGGTGGCAGCTGGGGGCCAGGGCCTGAGCTACAGGTGGGGATGGCAGCCAGAGGGTTCTCAGCCTCCAGGGCCTCTCCCAGGTGGGCCCCCTGGGGAGCTGGGCCTGGGCTGAGCAGGGCTTTCTCACAGGGCTGCCGGGTACCTGGGGGCAGCCAGGAACTGGTGCAGCTCTGGCATGACATTCACTATCTCCTGGCGGCACGGAGGCTGGGCGTGGCCACTCTGACACCTGTGCAGAGGTTCCGCTGCCGGAAGAGGTAGGTAGGGGCTGTGTGGGCGGGCTGGGAGCTGCTGTGGGGGCACAGCCTCAGCCTGGGCTGAGCAGGCTGCTGCTGGGGAGCAACCCCAGCCTACCTGCACATGAGAAGGGGCTGCCAGGAGCCTGTCTGCCATTGAAGCCCAAGGGAGCTGGCCTCTGGGCAGCTGTCCCTGGCCACCCACCCCTCCCTACAGATGCTGGCCAGTGTCCATGTCAGCGCCCATGGTCAGCAGTCCTCTGGGGTGATGTCAGCTCAGACAGGACCAGGGTGCTGCGCCCAGTAGGCGATTCCCATGGGGTCAGAGTGCACTGGGCTGGGACGGAGAATGGACTTTGGTGATCTCAGCCCCTCACCATCCACAGAGGAGGGGGCGCAGGTGAAACTACAGGTCCCTCTGACTTCTGACAGCCTGGCTCAGGGCTGCTGCAGGCTGGCTCTGGAAGGAGAGATGGAAACACTGGTGCTGCCTGGCAGCATGAGATGGTGGCAGCATGAGGTGGGAAGGTGGGAAGGGCTCTCCAAGATGGCAGCTAATAGCAGTGGATGCTGAGGAACACACAGAACTGTGGGGCAGAGCCCTGAGCTGGGGGATCCAGGATCAGAGCCTTGAGCTGTGGGGTGTGGGGTGCAGGCACCAAGGCTGCAGTTCTGGGGTCTGGCAGGAAGGTAACCAACCGTTTCTATAGAGAGATTCTGGAGGGGTCCCCGTTGGCGGGAGGAGGTAGAAGTGGGCTTGAGGCTCTCGGCTGGGGATGACTGGGCTGAGGGACACTTGGGGTGGGTCGGGTGCCACGCGGGGCGGGTGTGTGGGCTGTGGGCTTGTTCGCTGCCATCTGGGCCTCTGGTCCTGCACACCGACAGGTGCTGGCTCATTTCCGACATCCGTGCCAAGTGGGAGGCACTGGTACCTTGATGCCCCTGCAGCCTCTTTCCCATTACGCAGGAATCCCCCACCACCAGCGCTCTGCCCAGATGGCCCCAGGAGCCGCAACTTCCCCAGGGAGGTTCGCCAGAAGCTGCAGGACTTCGCTGCAGGCGTGAGCGCCAACCCTGGCAAGGTGGAGCGGGTAGGAGCTCGTTTGTGGCCCTGCTCAGCCAGCTGGACTCAGTTGGCCTGCAGCCGGGAGCCCCTGTTGGCCTGGAGGTCAAGCTGAGGACCCCGCCCCGCCCCGTGCCTCGCCCTTGGGGACTGGAGCCCCCTAGCTGAGGGGCCCACCCTGGCCCCATTCCTCAGTGCTGGTCCTCAGCCCTCCCATTCCCTGGGCCACCCCCAGCTCTCTTCCTCCACCCTGGGAGCCCAGCCCTCAGTCAGCCAGCCTCCATGACCTACCCCCCACCACATCCCCACTGGACAGGCCCGAGGCTGCTTGGGGGTTCCAGCTTAGGCTGGGTATAAACCCAGTAGCCGCCAACCTTAGGGGCTCTGGGGCCACTCTGGAAAGTGGGGAGGCAGAGGGGGAAGCTCGGGAGGGGGGCGCACAGGGAGACTGAGTGGCTGGCAGCCACTGGGAACCTGGCCGTTGAGGTCCTGCCAGGCATCTTCCTGGGGTGGAGCCACTCCGGAGAGCAGGGTCCCCTGGGCTGGGGCGGTGGCCAAGCCCTGGGCAGCTTGGCTGTCGCTTCGGTCAGGAGCATCTGGCGCTGGAGACGGGCTTGAGCGCTGAGCAGGTGTATAACTGGTTCGCCAACTTCCGGAGGCGCCGGCGAGCGCATGTACAGAGCGCAGAGGCAGAGCGGGAGACTCCTGCATGGGACCCCAGAGGTGGGGAGAGGGGCCCTGCACCCCTTCAGCCCTCAGGCCATCCCCACACCGGCTCCGGGGTTGTGGACAGGCCTCGGTGGCCAGGTGAGTAGCCCCAGCTTCCTTGCAGTGGGGCCTGATTTCTGTTAGGCCTTGGGGTCCTGTATCCAGCATCAGGCTTCTGTCCAGGCATTTTTCCCCATGCTGCCTTTGTGCAGCCCAGGACTGCTCCCCAGAGGCTGCACTGCGCTCATGGGTTAGGCCAGAGCCAGGCCAGTGAGCAGATATGGGAAGTGACCCATCCTTGTCCGAGAGCTCCTGGGTTGGTGACAATTGTCTCTGTTGAGACCAAAGAGAGACCTCAGGGCGCATGACCTTGGAAGTTCCTGTAGCCACGGCCTCTTTCTAAAGCTGGTGGGCAGCCCTCACTGCTGGGACGTGGTTGGGATCAGCTTCCTAGCCCCCATCTGAACTGCTTTTAGCAGGACTGGAGGAGAATGGGCCTGTGCAGGCTGCAGAGCCCCCGGGAGAGTCGTGGGAGCTACTGCCACAGGGCCCAGACTTCCACGAAGCTGAGATGCTACCGGAGCCATTGTCCAGGTGTTGTGTGGAGGGCTGCAGGCTGTGTTCAGAGAGCGAGTCTGGAGGTGTGGTGGGGCCAGCTCAGTGCCAGGAGCAGACAGCCCCAGGACTTGGCCTAGGACTGGGAAAGATTTGGGCAGAGTGGCCTGGGATCCCACGGCCACACCAAGGCTGTGACTACCAAGCTCTTGCCTTTGGCACTAGGTGTGGGGCACAGGCTGGGCACCTCATGTCTTCCCGGGCTTGGTGCAGGCAGGTCCTCCAGATGCCAGCACCATGTTCCACCTGTGACCGTGGACAGCAAAGGAGGGAGTGCAGGCCGCTGGTGGGAGAGGCATGGGCAGAGGCTGGCATAGCATTAGGGCTGCTGGGCACAGCATTGGGGCTTCCCAGCCCTGTTGTGAGAGTAGCCACCATTTACTCCTGGCCTCCAGGGCCTGTCCTGCCAGCTTCAGTGTCCCATGCCTTCACCCCGCCACATGTGAATACTGTTCACCCAACACACATGGCCCCTTAGTTTCTGGGAACCGTGTAGATGGAGGCTTCCTGGGGCCTGGAGCTCCAGGAGGTGAGTGACAGTAGGGAGGATGTGCTGGGCCTCAGCTGGGTCTGATCCAAGATTCCCTCGCTGGGCTGGAATCTTTGGGCCTCAGAGGCTGCATCCCTGTGTCCCGAGGTCCCTGGAAGGGGGGCCTCGCTCACCCTGGGGGCTGTACCCCTGTGTCCCTAGGTCCCTGCAGGGTGCTGAGCTGTACCAGGAGGCCCCTGGCCACCAGCCCACCGCTCTTCCTCCAGTCTGCCCTGGCCCAGGCCTGTGCCCTCTGGCTCCTGGTGGCGACCTGCTGGGCCCCCCTCTGGCTCCTCCAGAGTCGTGGTTGATGCCGCTTGCTCTGGCGTCCTGCACGGAAGTCTCCCTGACCGGACCACTGGTCCCCAGTCCCGACCCAGACCTCACCGTGCGGCCTGTGGACATTACAGCGACTGTTGCTGCTACAGCCCCCGTTGAGCCTAGTGCCACAGGTGGGTCCATGCAGAGGGAGCTTGCTGGTCTGCTTCAGTGGCTGTGACCACAGGGATCATTAAGGCGGCTTGGCTGGACCTGAGCCTGGGAGGCTGTTCCACAGACACTCTGGGTATCCCTCACTTACTTTATTTTGTGAAGTAAAGCTTGGCTGAGATAATACCAAGGGAAAGAGGAAGGGAGCTGAGCCCCACAGGGGGCTGTCTAGGCCCCTCCTCCCCAGCTCTCCACCCAAGCAGACCCCTAGAAACCTCTCTGGGCGACACCCCTGAAGAGCTGCTTGCGGGTGCAGGAGCTCCCCTACTCTCACTGTGCAAGGGCTTTGTGACACCCACCTCAAGGGGAGGGCTGGGCTACAGCCTCAGCTGCACCTGAGGCTGGGTCCTGGGTCCTGGGTCCTGGGCTGCGTTTCCGGGCGTCTCTAACTGCTCTGCTTTGCGGAGCTCTGCTCTGGCCCTGCAGCTCCTGTGTCGGCAGTTGCCCTGCCCGTCCCACTGGCTGTAGGCCCTTACCCTCCACTCCCCTCTATTATTCTGCTAGAGAATTAACTTTGCAGGGACGGTGCCTTCGAGGTCACCCTGCCAGTCCCTGCCTTCCCTGAACTTGCCTTTAGTGCTGGTCAGCAGCTTGGCAGAGACAGAATCAGGGTCTGAAGGCACAGGCTTGTGGTGGGGGCTGGGCCGGGGCCTGTGTGGCTTCCTTTGGGAATCACCTGAGTTTCTTTTTTTGGGATATTTTCCTGAAACCTCACAATGACTGTGGTAGATGTGAAGTTTTTAAATTTGTCTTGCTGTGAGTCTTTTCCACTTAAAGAAAAACAGAGAAGCCCCTCCCCACGGCCATTACATGCTGGCATGTTGGAAATCCTGAGCAAACCTCCCGAACATTTAGTTTTCTTTGATTATGTGCTTTTTTTTTTGTTTGTTTAAAGATTTATTTATTCATACAGAACTGGGTACAGGCCAGAGATTCAGAGGGTGAGAGGATTCACCAGAGACAGAGTGGGGAGCAAAACAGGCAGATCGAAGAAGTACACTGCTGAGGGGAGCAGTGGGCAGATCAGGAGAGGTCTGCCGTGCCATGTGGTCACCTCTGGAGCAGGCGGGGATTGAACTCATGTGGAAGTGGCTTAAGCTTCTTAGTGCTGTGGCTCTTCTGGTGGGCACAGCGTCCTGTGCTGATCTGAGGTCCTGTAGCCGCAGGCACCTGCCAGGCCCGGTGTTGCTGTGATTCTTCAGTCTAGTAGGAGGAACAAGGGGCCACTGGCGCAGGGACTGAAGGTTGGGCAGGGAGGGGACCATTTGGTCTTGCTGTCCTGAGTCTCCATGGGCAGAGGCTCATGTCCCCCCTCCTGGCTGCAGGGTGGGTGTGGGGGCCACTGCCAGCCAGCCCACCTGGCACGCAGGGTCCCGCATGTGCGGGGTGATGTCCTCTGACACTGCCAGCTCCCCCTCCCATGCCCTCCATCCTGGGGCTGCACTTAGATACTGAACTGTGGGCCTCGGCTCACCCGCATGGCTGCCCCTCACCAGGGCTTGGGCAGCTGGACTCTGGGCTCAGGGCCACTCTGGAAGGGAGGATGTGGCAGCCTGACCGAGCCTGTTGCTTTGGATCAGAGATCAGGGGCTCCAGCCTGTCTTGCCCATAAAGACTCTACTCAAGTGCAGAGAGGATGGCTCCTGGGAGCATTCTGAAGGAGAGGAAGGGGAGGGATTTGGGGATGGCAGCTCTGAAGTGAGAAACTGCCAAGGGCTAGTGGCCTGGTCCCATGGCCAGCACTGGAGGTGAGAGTGGATAGCATGTTCCCCCTCCCCCCCAAAGCCGGGTGGCCAGGCTGGATTTGGTGCCAGTCTTTGACTCTGGGACCAGGATGACAAAGCCTGAGGCTGAGCTCTGAGGTAGAGGCTGTTCCTTCCTAGGGTGCTGTGGGCTGGTGGGCAGAGATGCCTGGGTTCTGCCCATGTTCCCAGGTCCTGCCCCTCCTCGGCATCCAGGAGTGTGCTTTACCCTATGCAGGATTCTCGGATCTGCCTGGCACCATCCCCCAGCGCGTGTACCTGAAGGAGGCCGCCGGTGCCAGCGGTGGCCACGCCGGGGCCCAGATGGGTAGCTTCCTGGTGGCACCGCCCCCACCACAGGCGCCTGGATTAGCCCTCGGTCGGAGGTGAGCCCTGTGCAGCCGCCCAGCTGTCAGGTTTCAGGCTTGGCATCTTGGGGGGAACAGAGCAGAACCTCTTGGGATTCAGAAACTAGCAGCATCTCTTGGCCTGCAGAAGGCAGAGCAGCAGTGCCGTCGCAGGCGTCCTTCCCAGGTGTGGTTCAGGGGCAGCCTCTCTGGTGTTTTCTTTTCCCAGAAGCAGGCAGTGGGGACTGGCAGGGCCACAGCAACCTGTGCTGCAAGCTGTATTGTGGGGCCAGGCGACTGGGGCAGAGGGTGGGACATCCCCGCTGAGAGGAATCCAGGGGCTGCATAACCAGCCTGTCACAGCTCACCCTGCGGACTCAGACAGGGCAGGGGCCCAGATCAGCCCCAACTCGCTCAACGCGTGGGGTCTGGACATCCTGGGCCAGCCAGCAGTCTTCTAGCCATAGAGGCCCTGCCGTAAAGGTGGGGGCTCTGGGGCGCACTGCAAGCCAGTGGTGCTCTGTGGGACAGGACTTCTGCATTGCCTTCCCCTCGAGGCTCCCGGGTCAGCAGCCTGCTTTCTCCCGTGAAGGTTCCTAGATTCTCACCGCAGCCAAGTCACGGGGACGTGGCCTTTCTGTTCAGTCGGCTTCTTGCAGGGCCTGACATTTGCCCGAGTTCCTGTGCGCCTGGGTGTCAGACCATTCCTTCTGCTGTGGGCCGCCTCTTGTCCCCCACCCTGGCTCCACTCTCCTCCCTCCCTGGCACCTCTCCTCCCCTCTGCTCCTGGCCTCCTGCGAGCCTGTGCTCCCCACCTGCTCTGGGGCCACACAGCCCCCCTTGTGTCCCGGCAGAGCCATGCTGGGAGAGTGTGGCCCCAAAACTGTACAGACGGTGGGCACTCAGGCTTATGGGGTGGGCAGTGGACCCAGCCCTGGAAGTGGAGCCTGTCCCCACCCCGCCCCTTTTCTAGCCACTCAGAGCTGGCCCAAGCCTCCCCCACCTTCTATGGTCCGGCATCTGCTGTGGAGCTGAGCCAGGCCCTGCCCACCGGCCAGGTGAGCTTCGGGGGCTTCACTTTGTGCCTGTGGAGGTAGTGACCAGGGCAGGACACCCTGGCCTGCCATGCACCCTCACGTGATTCCACTGCCCTCAGGTGGAGTGGCCTGAGGGCCAGGCCTCCAGTGATGCCTTCTGGGGTGCCAGCATGCTCCTGGAGCTTTCGGGAGGTAGCCTGGGCTGAGCCGCCCACTCCATTGGGTATTGTGGCAGGGAGCTCGCCTGGAGGCCTGACGTCCGCACCATTCGACGGCTTGGTCCCCAGTTATACAAGGCGTCCCCGGGTGCCTGTGTTTTGGCAGCTGCCCTGCCCCAGCTTTGATTAAAGTTTGGTTTTGGCTCCCTGTGTTGGAGGGAGCTTTTGACGGACGTTGGTGAGGCCAGAGTCCGCCGAAGTGGGAGTTTGCACTAGGGCACTGGGCTTCCGGGGAGACAGGCAGCTGCCCAGGCCTCGTTCCCAGGCTGGCCCCGGCACGAACAGAGGCACCCTCGCTGCTGGTCTCCCACAGACGCAGGGCAGGTGTGCCCGGGAAGGCAGGCTCCCGCTCAGGCCGTCAGCCGTTGTTTGTAACGCACATGTTCTAGTTCATTAAAGTTTAATGTTGTGAGCCCCTTTCCTTCACTCTGCGCCTGCGCGCGCTTGTGGGGCCTCCCCTGCGTCGCGGGCCCGAGCGCTCCGGTGCTGGGCGTCGAGGCTCCCTTCCACCCAGCGTCGCCCCGCCCCTCCGCTCCGCCTCGCCTCGCCGCCGCCTCGGCGCCTCTCCTTGCTCCCCACCCCCTCAGCCCCGCCCCACCTCGGTCCGCCGCGTCCCCGCCCCACCCCATCCCTGCCCTCGCTCCCACTCCTCGCCCCGCCCTCCACTCCGCTCACCTTGCCTCACCCTAGGTCCGGCCCTTCACTGCACCCCGCTTGGCGCTGGTGCTTGTCTGCTCCGCCCCCTTTTCCCAGCCCCTACCATTCCCCCGCCCCTCCCCCCGGCTCTCCACCCGGTCTCATCCTCTTACCCCCTGGTCCCCCTCCGCCGGGAGAGGGAGGACGCCCCCAGCCCGGCGGCCGCCTGACGTCTCCGGTTCGCCGACCGGACCTGCCTCGGTGTCCATCACAGTGGGAGCGAGCCAGAGCGGCCGTCGCAGAGGGGGGCTGCGGGCCCAGGCGCAGGGTTCGGGCGCACAGTGCTGGAGACGTGCCTTCTGCCCCTCGCCGGCCACAGACGCAGCCGGGCACCGCGCCGGGGACCCTCCCGCAGGTGGCCTCCAAGGGGAGGTGGCCTCCATGGGGACGCGCCCTCCGCCACGCCGCGCCCTGGAGCCGCAAGCCCTGCTTTGAAGGGCCAGTTCTGATGTGGTCACAGCGCACAGGCACCTGCCGTCAGGACCTGAGTCCTGGCGCTGTGTGTGTGTATGTGTGTGGGGGTGGGGGGTGGGAGGGGCGCCGCCTGGTGAGGCAGGGGGCACTTGGGCGTGGCTATTGACCCTGAGAAGTCCCGGAGGTAGCCCTGGCCTATCCCGCACTGGATCCTGGAGCAGCAGGCAGGGCCAGGCTGAGCCTCTCAGAGCAGAGCACCCATGTGGGTCTCTAGCCTGTCCTTAGGGCAGGCAGTGGTCCACTGTGACCCACCTGGCCTGTTGAGTCAAGGTCAAAGCTGGAATCTCCAAAAAGAAGACCAGACAAAGACCTTTTTTTTCTTTTTTAAAGATTTATTTGTGCATGCAAGAACTGGCCAGAAGTTGGGGGAGTGGGGGAAGAAGAGGGTTCACCAGAGTCACAGTGGGGAGCAGAATAGGCAGATCTAAAATACACTGCTGAGAGGAGCAGTGGGTGAGTCAGGAGCCGTCTGCCATGCCACGTGTTCACCTCCCTGACTGGAGATCAGACTCGTGCCGCAGTGGCTGCAGAGGGTTTCATAGTGCTGCGCTTTAACCCATTGCACCACCAGGTAGGGCTCCAAAGACCTTTTTTTGAATCATTTGGGACCAAGTAGCTGTCAGAGGCCCCAAGAGTCTACTAATGCCTATGCTTCCTTTGTGGAGAGGCTTCTTTGTGTCGAAGCACAGCCACCACCACCTGGAAGAGACTTTTCTGCCTTCTAGTTGCTGCCACCCCATCAAGGTTTAAAAAGTGTCCTTTGAAAACATTGAAATAATCCTACCTCATGCACTCCAGTGCAAGGATGTGACCATGTGATGGTTAATCCACCTACTGAATGGTAACCTGGTTTCTTTAAGGAGAAGCAGGAGGAGAGATACTGTGCATATTGTATGCTGGTTTTGCTTGTCCACATTCTAGTGTTACAGGTCAGGAGAAAGGGCACCCCAGGACCTCCAATCATGCCCGCTCTAAATAGTTTCTGCCATCTGTCACATGAAGACAAAATACACTCTAGTGTGTAAGACCTTTAATGGGAAGGGACTTTAGTACAAACAGTATGAAATAAAGAGAAGGGTAAAATAAAGTTTCCAGAACAAGTACCTGAAGTCACCTGTCCCTTCAAAGGTGAATGCTCAGCTAGGATGCTTAGCAGGATGGCTGAAGCCTGAAAGCTGCCACAGTCTAAGGCACCTCTTAGGGGACCGATAGGAAAGGGGCAGGAGGGGCCAGGTGTGTCCTGGGACAGTCAAGGAGCAAAAGCAAAATCAAGATCAGTGCTGCCATCGTGACCTCCTTATGGGCCTCACCTACAGCTGTGACTGGCTGTCAACCAGTCCAGGCCCAGGAAGCAAGGGGAGCTTCTTCACAGATCTCCACTCCATGTGCCTCCTTCAGGTGTCTGCTTGCCCTCCATCCTGCTTCCTTCCCTAGTCTCCTCTCCGGTTTGTCCTCCCTGCTCAGCTCCACCCTCCCCTGAGAGGGGCAGGGAACCTGGAACTTGCCCTTTCCTGGGGAGGAAATCCTGTTACAGTAGGAATTGGGGTGATATGGTGAGGCCATGATTTGCTTCATAATAAACAGCCCAAAGTGTCTTTCAACACTGCTGTACCTATATGCACCTCTTCCCATAAGTGAAAGTTCCTCTTGCTACTGCTCATTTTTGAAAGGTTTCAGCCAGTTTAACAGATACAGGGATCAGGCATGATGTGTTCCCATTTTTTTTTTTTTAAAGATTTACTATGTATTCATTCAGAACTGGGGTACAAGCCAGAGGTACAGGGGCAGTGATAGGCTTCACCAGAGACACAGTGGGGAGCAGAACAGGCAGATTGATGGTGTACACTGCTGAGGGGAGCAGCAGGCGGGCCAGGAGTGGTCTGCCAGGCCTTGTGGATCACCTCTGGGGTGGGGGATTGAACTCAAACTGGGGCAGCTGCTGCCACCTTGCAGTGCTGCATCCCAACTCATTGCACCACCAGGGAGGGCTCCCCATTGTTTTTTTTTTTTTTTGGCTCCCCATTGTTTTTTATTTGTTGCTTTCTCATGATGGTGATGGCGATTGTCATCTGCATCTCATTTCCAAGTTTACCTCCTATGGGAAGTTTTTCACTTTATCTATGCATTCAAGAAGTGGGGTCTAGGCCATGGGTGCTGGAGGTGAGAGGATTTACCAGAGACAGTGGGGAGCAGAGCAGGTGGATCCACTGAAACAGTGTCGAGGGCAGCAGCAGGCGAGACAGGAGAGGTCTGCCACACCATGCGGGTCAGCTCACTGGTTGGGGATTGAACTTGTGCTGCGGTGGCTGGCAATAGCTTTGTAGGGCTGAGATTTTACCCCTAGGCCACCAGTAAGGCTTATGTCTGTACATTTTGTGTGGATTTTGGTGTTGTAGAGTTTGTATCTAATTTTGTTTCTATGCGAGTTCCAGTTGTCCCAATTGTCTATATTGATTCATCAGTATTTGTGGGCAGACTTGTCCCTTTGACAAATCTGCTGACTACATTTACATGGGCCTACTTTTGGGTTCTTTGTCCTCTTTCATCTGTTCCTTCACCAATATTCTCTCTTAATTACTGTCATCTTATAGTAAGTGTTTGTAATGGAGGAAGAGGAAGCTTGGAAAAAAGGGTCCATAGGACCAGAAACATGGCTCATGCAACGCCAGGAACTGAAGGTGTGGGAAGGGGTATCATTAACCCAGCTACAGAGATGAAAAGTCCTCAGGAGCCAACCTCTAGACCACCAGGCACAGCCCCAAACAGGTGTCAGAAGCTGTAGCATGTCACAGGTTGCAGACTGGAGGTGGGGTGTAGAGCCAGAGGCCACTGTAGAATCTCTGGTCCTTTTCAAAATCAACAAAAATGAACCACTCCATAAAAGGATGACGTCCCTGAAGTAAGGAAGACCCTTTCAGCCCTCTCAGGGAGATCTCTGCATTGGCTGGGCTGTGGCTTCTGCCCGCTTGGGCCTATGCAGGACTCCACTGTGCCAGCCCTTTCCCCAGGACAGTGGCTTCCTGCCTGCTCAGGGTCTCTGGTCTTGCTGGGGCTTCTCACTGACCCCCCAGTTTCCTGCTGGGGTGTCTAGTCCCAGCGCTGGCTTTTGACAGAGTGTGTCCTGATCCTTCTTCTGTGTCCCTGCAGCGGGGCTGGTTCTGCTTGTGGTCTGTCTGTGGCCTTGTCACCTGGGCAGCCTTTCCCACCCCGTTGTCTCTCCACCTCCCAGACCTGCCTGCTGGGCGGGGAGCGCAGCTTTTTCTTAGCCTCACTATTGATGAATTGGTCCCCAGCATTAAGGACTTTACAGTTTTGAGGAACTATAGTAAATGTCTTTTCTTTCTGTTTAAAAACTCATTTCTGGAGCCCTCCCCAGTGGCGCAGCTGGTTAAATCACAGCAAAATGAAGTTACCGCAACTGCAGCACGAGTTCAATCCCCCGCCAGGGAGGTGATCCACATGGCATGACAGACCTCTCCTGTCCTGCCAGCTGCTCCCCTCAGCAGTGCACTTCAGTCGATCTGCCTGTTCTGCTCCCCACTCTGTCTCTGGTAGATCCTCTCACCCTTGCACCTCTGGCCTGTACCCCAACTCTTGTATGTATAAGTAAGTAAATCTTAAAAAAATTCATTTTGGGCCCTCCCTGGTGGCACAGAAGGTTAAAGCACAGCACTGTGAAGCTATTGCAGCCAGTAGAGCACGAGTTTGATCCCTGGCCAGGGAGGTGACCCACGTAGCACAGCAGCAGACCTCACCTGACCCTCCTGCTGCTCCCCTAAGTAGTGTATTTCAGTACATCTGCCTGTTCTGCTCCCCAC